TCTCAGTTAGTGCTGAGCGGCTGACGGCTCCCGACGTGATTAGACTTCACATAATAACTACTGTCCGTCAAACGTATGCCATATGTCCGGTCGGTCTATAGTTCGGTGCAAACGTTGAAGCGTTTGTTGTAAAGTTCCCAAAACTAGACTAATTCCAAACACAAATACACTTATTAATGAAAACTACTTTTTAAAATACTGAAATTTAATTAAAATAATTATTTTAATTTAAAAATATGTTATACTATACTATAACATTATATGGCCAAATAAAAGCTAATGTAATCCTATGGCACATAGAATGTAGATTTGACATTACCTATGGCCCATAGGCTATGGGTAATGTCAAATCTGTTTTAGTAATTTTAATTTTGTTGATTCTTTGCTTAATTCTATGCTTTTCTATAAATTCCCATATACATGTATGTTTTCCTATACTGTATATCATATTAATACTAACAATAAGTCTATTTGCAGTGCTTTCTCTGTTAGAATCTCTAAAATAGATAATTCAAATAAAATACTTTATTTTCAATGGTGGTTTAATCGAATGGATGTTAACTTATCGCTTTGCTTGCAAACCTTGTTTTAGTTTAATTACATTACCTCACATCAAACATTTATTAGGAAATATTATGGTTTACCTCTAAAGGAATTGAAACATACCATAAGATTAATGTATAAATGTTTTCTTACAGTTAAGAATCAGAATAATAGTAACAATGAAGAAATAAATTGGATTAAACCAGACAAAAAATATGGTGACGACCCGCTTATGGTTGTCGACCTCTTGGTTGATGTCATGTTTATCGGTGAGGCATATATCAGATGATTAAAGAACGGATTCTGTAATGTGTTTATCATTGTCTCTATAGTCGACATTTTAATCAACTTTAGGACAACTTATGTCAATAAAAACGATGAGGTATTATNTGACATGCGATCACTGGTTGTGACCCAATGACCAGGTTGTCTCACATCCGGGTAAAATAGCCTTAAATTACTTACGAGGATGGTTTCTAATCGATGTCGTGGCCGCCATTCCTTTTGATCTCTTACTTTTTGGTTCACAAAATGATGAGGTTTTGGTTTTTTACATTTTAAATTCACTCATTTTCCTATTTTCTGTTTACCGGTATATAAGTCTCATCTCATATTGAGTTAGCAAGTATGATATTTTTACTACAATTCAATATAATAATTAGAGCTCGAATATTTGGAAATAAAAACATGCAAAATTGGTCGGGGACTGGGAGTAATACAGTCAAATTTGGGAATTAATGTTTATTCTTATAATAATTATAGATTTACATTAGAATCATTTACAAATTAATTATATTTAATAAAACCACTAAATTTGAGGTTTTCTTCTGCAAATTGTTGTCTTCTATTTGTAAGAATATTTTGAATTGAATGGTCACATGTTGTGAGTTTGGCTATCCCTATATCACAGATTATTTGAGCTTAGAAACAGCTTTATGCATTTACTTTAGGTACTTCATTATTTTTAATGAGAAATAACTGTAATATTTGTAGAAAATATTTTTCTAGAAAATGTTCGTTTTAGGAACTATTTGTCATAAAAAGGGCTTTTAGGGATCTTTTCCAAAATATGCCAAAATCGGGAATATTTGAAAAAATAAAAGTGGCCATGCTAGTATTAATAGGCATGGCCATTTGCCGCCCAAATTTTTTCGTCTTACAAGTTAGTACTTAAACTTAATACAGGTACTTTATATATGTTTTTAATTATTTTACAATATATGGCTTATATTCCTGTAATGAGGAAAACATAATTATTTATTTATTTAACTTAATTATTTAAACATTAATTATTTATCATAAATATTATAATATTAATAGATTAAACCTAAAATAGTGCATATATAATATTATTAAATAATTAATTAAACATAATTA